ATAACCACAATATCCACCAGAGATATCTATAGTGTGTCTGCAGAGCTTTAGAGGTCCAGTTCTTGTCAAATTACCGTATTAGAACTTTTACTGATTTAATGTGTTCCCTCTATGAGCCACAATCGGATGTTCAATCCCATTTAAAGGATGAGGTTTCAGACCAGCCTGATGATTTAGTTGTTTTACTTTTCTTTCTTTTAGGGTTTTGGTTGTTTGTGTCGGCAAAGAGAAGGATCTGAATTATTTGACCACTGATGGGTAATAGACGATTAAAATTCATTACAAGTTTTATGACGTTTTACTTAACAAGTTCACAGCAGGAATCAAACCTTTGAACAGATCTGTCTGTTTTTAGGAAAATGCTTTTTGTACAAATCAGCGATGAAGACAAAGAAAAAGAGAAGAACAAATATTTTATTCCAGTCAGTTTAAAGAAGGTGAGAAGACTTTAAAGAAACAAACACATTAGTAGGAGTGTTTAAGAAAAAAACAATGATGTGTGGAGTTTACTTGTCCTCTTTTAGGGATGCAGCGACACGGCCGGGTTCATCCAGGCGGTCCTCGGCCTCCTCCTGCCTCTGGCGTACGAGTATGACCCCACTCTCGTCCTTTTGGTTCGCACGCCTGGAAGCGGAGTGGATGACAGCATGTGGCAGCAACTCATTGGTCTGCTGCTGGGCTTCGCAAAGGGACACACTCTGGTTCTGATGCAGGTGAGACTACTGGAGCAAATTTTGAATAAGAAATCTTTATGTGCAAATTATCTTCTTTATGTTTCAGACGAATGAAAAGGTGCATGTGGGCCCCACTGCTTCCGCCCTGCTTGGTCGGCCTGCGCCTCCTCTGCTGGAGCTTCAGACTCTGGACCAAGAGGATGGAGAAGCTTTGGAGAGACTGAGAGAGAGGCTGCAGACTGACTGGAAAATGCTGCAAACAACAAGCGAAGGGACTGAGGAAACCCTTCCATGTTAGGCACCAGTGCAAACTCTCAAGGCTCATGATTAGCTGTAGGACCCTGGAGGAATGACCAAAAAGCTATATGTATCTTGCTGCCGCTTATGTCCGAGGAACTGAAGATGATATAGTTGATTTATTTTTTGCCAGGTGTTGCACTCATCACAATGAACAGAATTTAAGCTTGTATATTACTGCCTGGTGCTGTTCCTCTGGTTTTTTAATTCCTAAAACATGTTGAGAAATGATTTCATACAGTCTTGCATTAATTATTTTGCATATTTTAGTTAATAGAATTGCTAGAAGTGGACGAATAATGAATCCAGAGATGTTTCCTGTGTTTATACTGGAAGTGTGACTGAAATAAAGTGTCTTTTTTTATACTGAAGCAGCTCAAAGGACCAAACTAAAATACTGGCAATGATTAAAGCAGACCTCATCACAGGTGTGTTTATGGGTGGTTTGTAAATTAAAAATGTTAAACATTGGAGTATTTGGATGCCAGGGGAGAATGAAGTGAAAATTGTTAAAGTAGTTAGACCTCAAGGGACTGATCTGGTGTTTTCAATTTCTCACTTTGGTTTTATTTTATTCTGGAGAATTTTCATCTCCCAAAGTAATATTTTGCACATTCTCATTTATTCACATCTTAATGCTTACATTAATTTTAGTGTGAAATTCTACACATTTTTGTGCCTGATCTTTTTTTTTTTTATCATAGTGGATTCATTGTATTGGTTTTGCACTTTGTTAGCAGCTGTTATTTCTTCTCCATTTGGTGGTCTGCTGTGCTAATTAGTTTATGTAGTCAGTTGGGTTTCTATTGTTCAAAAAGTATGTTTTTTGACCAGTAGAAATTCAATTTTTGAAATTCAATCTTTTTGTTGCATTTTTTTTTCAGTCTTTGAGTTTATTCCTTTTTGCATGGCACAAATAGAGGTTTGGTTACATTCAAAGCACCTCTGAAAGCTGTGAGGCTTTGGGTGTTTAATTATGCATTAGATCGCTTTTCCTGGCAGCTTTGATCATTAACATTGTTGGTTTCCTGAGACTGATTTTCAAAAAGACTGAGATCTGAGCTTTCAAAAATCTTTGAGTTTGCTGGCTTTATTATCATCCTGTTTTAGCATCCAATTATTATATTTTATTGTATTATTTTAGGTACAGTGGGTAGCACTGCCAGCAAGAAGGTTGCAGATTCGATTCCTGGTTCGAGGTCTTTGTGCATGGACTTTGCATGTTCTTCGTGTGCTTTCATGAGTTCTCTCAGGGTACTCAGGCATCCTTCCACAGTCCAAAAAACATGACTGTTACATTAATTGGCTTCTCTAAATTCTCCTTAGGTGTGAGTGTGTGCATGAATGGTTGTTTGTCCTGTTTGTCTCTGTGTTGCCCTGCGATGGACTGGTGACCTGTCCAGGGTGTACCCCGCCTCTTGCCCATAAACAGCTGGAGATAGGCACCAGCAACCCTCGTGACCCCAGCAGGGATAAAGCGTGATGGAAAATGGATGGATGTATTATTTTAAATTCATTTGAAACTAGAACGGCACTTAGAGAGTGCAGACCTTTACAAAGCAGCAAATTTAAGCCCCACGTCCATCATCTACACTTATAGCTAAAAGGATCATGTCTTTTGGAATCTGATGCTGAAGCTGTCAATAGTTACTGCTGCCACCCCTTGGTTTAGTAGGGAACTGCTTCTCCATAACTCCTTATCTCGTGATGTTAAATAATCCTTTATAAAAAAAATCCTTTATCCAGATCATCATCTTGATCCTCAAAATGTAATTGATTGTTCCTGATAAAAGTGTCATTAAACCTTAACCTTTCTATTTATCATACACAGAGGAGGGACAGGGAACCAGACAGACATACATGCAAACTCTCCTAAAAACATAAACTCTTTGGCAGAGATAACATGTTGATAGAGATTTTATTCTTTATAGCTCATAATTTGAGGCTTTAGTAACACAGCGGTCAAGGTGGACATCTAGTGGTCCGCAATTTTGATCTTTCATTAGGCTAACTTCCATCTAACGTGCTTATTTAAACATTATTTTTGTTTAAGTTACTGAAGTAATGTACTGTATATAAGGTTTAGTAGTTTGTGTGTAAACAACAAATGAATCTTCCTGCACTGTGGGACACTCAGGCTATATTATGTAACTGACCAATCAGACCACATTTATACCTGAAGATTGTTTCAAACGTCACTGATGTCACTTGATCAAGCCATGTCCTTCTATATGTGATTCACGAGCTGCATATTAAACCCTCAGCTGTTGCTGAGCCGCAGCATAATGCTGCCACCGCCATGCCTAACAGTTGTGTAATGTTCTATGGTCTATAATCTTCATCCAGCTCCATTCAAACACTTTTGTTTTGTCTTTGTGGCCAAAGAGCTAAAGCATTGACTTTCTAGATCATAAAGATTGTGTGTTATGAACCTTCGAAAGGACAAAATGTATCAAAACAGTTTCTTATAATCGATAAATCTGGCTACTGTATGCATAGCTTCATCCTTGGTAAAAAAAAAAATTTGAAACTCTAACACCACATAAACAACAAGAACAAATTTAGATTTAGAAAAATCCCTCCTATGTTCAAACTCATGTTTAAATTGTATATTTTTTTAATAGATTGAAGCTGTTTGTTATTTGATATAGAGACAAACAACCCTAAAAAGCAGATGGCCGCTCACACTGAGCCTGGTTCTGGTGGAGGTTTCTTGCTGTTGAAAGGGAGTTTTTCTCTCTACTGTCGCTGCTAGCATGCTCAGTGTGAGGGATTGCCTTCCAGTCAATGAGTCGATGCAATCAACTGGTTTTCTTTAGATAGAATATTTTGAATCAGTTTTGCTGTATGATCTGGTGAACTGCAAATTGCATTGAGATGATGTGTGTTGTGAATTGAATGAAAGTGAAATAAACTGAGTAAAATAAACTGAATTGTATTAAATTGAATTAAAAAATCACTCAAACGGATAAAAACTAAATATGAATTACCCCTAAATAAGCTTTTTCTATATACATATACAACAGACTCAAATTAGAAGACGTTTATTATTATAATTATCATTATTTGGATTCTTTAGGTAACATTGTGTGCCTAAATCTGCTTGAATCTGCTTAAACATCAGTCTAGGGTTTTATCTAGAGTTCCACTTAGAATGAAACACTCCTATTGGCCCCCTCTGGGTTTTAGGGACATTTCATTGCTTCTACGTCATCTGGACTAATTTAGATAAGCAGAGATGGGAAGTAACGAAGTACAAATACTTTGTTACTGTACTCAAGTAGATTTTTCTGATATT